TTATTTTTTCTAAAATGTTTTAATGACAGAAGTTCCCTCAGTGACTGAGGCTCAGTCACCACACTCTGACCCCACTGGCCATGCCGCACTGTGCCGCTGCCTGCTGGGAAATGTAGTTTTCTGCCCGGCGGCAGCTCTCTAAGCAAAAGACGGGGCAGACAGGTGTCTGCTGATTTCAGGACACGGGCGGCATGCGGGAGCTGCGGTCAGTCCCCGCCGTGTACTCTGTTTGCTATCTGGGGCGCCCCCACCCCCAAATGACAGAATACCAGGGCCCTGGCTGTGCCCCCTCCTCGCCTCGCCCTTCCTACGGCCCTGCCAGGGGTGCAGGCAGTTAACAGTGCGGTAAAGTACATGCTAACGTACCACCAAACTAGGTCTTATTTTCGCGGTAGGTCTTATATTACAGGAATCTTTAAAGATAGTGCTAGGTCTTACTTTCGGGGTAGGTCTTATTTTCGGGGAAACACGGTACACATACAACAACTAATTACCATATATCAATAGGACAATAAAAAAATTAATTATAATACACACACACACACTGAATGATGTAGCCATGACAATTTGTAGTATTAACTACAGTAAACCAGCAAAGTAGCTGTGGGAAAGTTGTTAAAACGATAAGGAACTTACCTGCAAGAAATTATTTAACTGTGCTTTTGACTTCTCCAGAAATTTCTGGTCTACAGACTTGAAAGGAAGCTTACTGATTGAAGGCAACTGTACCTTCTTCAATGAAGGGAAACACTGAATGACCAAAGAAAAGGAACTAAGTTATTTTTTCAGTAAAAAATGATATTCAGAAACACAGTGATTTCATCCTGTTTATGATGCCATTAGGTTCCCATTCAGAAGTTATACAGGTATCCTTGACTTGACAGATAGATGAAAACACTTTTTGATATATGTTGATATACTGTATTCAACTAACCGAGTGTCTCACTAATACGGTCGATCGCATACTGTACTTTAATTAAAGCTGAACTCCAGATATAAACATTTATGTAGTTACAATGGTCCAGCCTGGCTCAATGTAAGTTAGCATATTTTATGCCTGGAAAGGCTACAGGGATTCTGTATAACACAGTAGAAGTCGGCACTATTACTTGTGTGCTTTACAAAAATCTGCTGGGTCCTGTACAGTCGCTGTGCTAAGCCACTTCCCCTCTGCTGTGAACACACAGAGGGTTGCTTGCTCGGCACATCGGGCATTCAGTGAATGCCTAGAATTTTTATCAATATTAGCCGTTCTTAGGTTGGATGAGGGGCAAATCATGAAGTCACCAACCCTCATCCAATCAGAGGAAGTCTAGTATTCATTGATAAAAACACTAGGTGTTCTCTGAATGGCTGCAGTGACGAGCAAGCCAGGGCCTGTGTTTTCACAGCAGAGGGGAAGACGTTCAACACAATGGCAGTACAGGACCCTCAAGATCGCTGTAAAGCACTGTCGTAGCTCCGACTACTACAGTGTTTTACAGGATCCCAATGGGCTTTCTAGGAACAAAATATACATGACCAGCCATAACATTATGACCACCCAATAATAAGTAGGTCCCTCTTTTTCCAGCAAAAAAGGCATGGACTCCACTAGACCCTGTGAAGGTATGTTGTGGTGTCTGGCACCAAGCAGTTCCTTTAAGTCCTGTAAGTTGTGAGGTAGGGCCTCCATGGATCCGACTTGTTTTCCAGCACATCCCACAGATGCCCGATTGAATTAAGATCTGGAGAATTTGGAAGCCAGGTCAACACCTTAAACTTGTTGTTGTGTTCCTCAAATCAATCTTGAACAATTTTTGCATTGTGGCAGGATGCATTACTCTACTAAAAGAGGTCACTGCCATTAGGGATTACCATTTCCATAAAGGGTGTACTTGGTTATTGTTTAGGCGGGTGGTACATGTCAAAGTAACATTCACGTGAATGGCAAGACCCAAGGTTTCCCAGAAGAACAATGCTCAAAGCCTCTGCCGGCTTGTGAAGTACAGGCACCTGGCCATTCACATGATGCGAGTACTGTCGGCCCATGATCCTGTCGCCGGTTCACCAGTTTTCCTTCATTGGGCCACTTTTGGTAGGTCAAGATCATTGCAGACTGGGAACATCCCACAAGAGCTGCAGTTTTGTAGTTGCTCTGACAAGGGCCAAATTGTGATGACTAGACGACTGGGTCAAAGTCGCTCAAATCCTTACGCTTGCCCATTTCTTCTGCTTCAGAACACATCAACTTCAGGGACAAAATCTTCACTTCCTGCCTAATATAACCCGACCCCCCTCGCAGGTGCCATTGTAGTGAAATAATCAATGTTATTCACTTCACCTCTCAGTGGTCAGAATGTTATGGCAAACTGGACCAACATGAGTATAAGGCCGTGACACACTGCAGGCAAAGCAGCGCGGAGCGGTGGCACGCTGCCTTTGCGAGCAGTGTGTCATGTCATTTTCTCCTGGGCACCTCAGCTGGCGAGAGCTCGCGGAGCTGAGCGTGCCGAGATCAACAATTCCAACTTCAGCCAATCGGCTCGCGCGAATAAACCAGCGCGTCGGTATGCGACAGCTGGCTGGTTGTTACGGACGAGCCGATTGGCTGAAGGTGCAGTCAATCATCTGACTGCAGTCAGCTCACACACTGCACGCAAAGCTCCGTGCCGGATAGCTTTGCTTCGATCTGCACGGCTTCGCGTGCAGTGTGTCACGGCCTTTAATATTTCTACCTGGAGTTCAGCTTTAAAGGCAATTTCAAAATCAAATGAAGTCATGCAATGTGTTGTGATGGTCCACCCAATTTGCCTGAGTGAATGGATTAAGTATCACAAAACAGTTGGGGATCAGAATGGGCATTAGAGAAAGGGTCACAAATAAAAGCCAATAACACTAGAAGAAAAAAACAAACAAACCGTGTGTGTGTTTCCTTTTTTCCTTATGTATTTGTGCACTTCTCTGTAATAATCGAATGCCCAACTTCCTATATAAATTTGAAGGGTTCAGCAGCACAAATACAAATATAATTCCGCATATAGTTACCTCACTGAGCTTCCTGTGCAGATTCTGAAATTCGCTTAACCTCCTCATTACCGACCAGTTCTTGGTATTTGAATCATTAGACTCTGGCAAACTGACCAATACGAAATACAATGGCATCTGCTCACCATTTTCCTCAGACACCTGAAAGAACAGTTGTTCATTATTTTTTTATTTCTTATGCAACCATAGCAACCCATTATTGTGGAGGTCTGTACCAGAGGTCGCCGAGTATCATCAGGCATAACAATCACAATATACTTTGAGGACTCATGACCAAGAATAAAAGAACAATGCTGGCAGTTTCCTCCAAGTAAATAGGATATTATAATACGAGGCCTGATTGCAAATCTGCAATTTAAAAAAAAAAATGTTTATTATAGCTATCAGAATGAAAAATCTATTTTTCTAATGCAGAGCAGAGGATGGAAGCCTTTAACCGCGATACAGACATCAGACACTTTTCCTGACTTTTGCTTAATTCAAATGTAATTTAAACATATGCCTGTACTTAGATTATTGATGTGAATTGATTAAACATTACCATTCTATTGCATTCAGCCAAAGGCAGCACCCACGGCTGCCTGAACTCCCAAACATTAACTGCATCGGATAGGATTCATTCATTGTTCGGCTGATAATGTTTCACCTAGCTCTGTTGATTTGTAAATCAACTTTAAATCAAGGCTGGTGGTGCTGACAGGACCACCAACACCTCCAATTTCAGCCATGGGTGGCCCTTTATGACCTGTTTAACAGTCCTGGTGCTTAGCTGGAAGTACACCACATACCTTCTCTAAGATTCCTAGAGCTTAGGTGAAAGAACTAAGTACACAATATACCTTCTCTAAGATTCCTAGGGGCTTAGGCGAAGGAACCGAGTACACCATATACATTCTAGGACACTCCTGGGGCTTAGATGAAAGAACCAAGTACACCATATACCTTCTCTAATACTCCTAGGGCTTAGGTGAAATAACCAAGTACACCATATACCATCTATAATACTCCTAGGGCTTAGATGAAATAACCAAGTACACCATATACCTTCTCTAACATTCCGAGGGTTTAGGTGAAAGAACCAAGTACACCATATACCATCTCTAATACTCCTAGGGTTTAGGTGAAAGAACAAAGTACACAATATACCTTCTCTAACATTCCTAGGGTTTAGGGGAAAGAGCAAAGTACACTATATACCTTCTCTTACATTTCTAGGGTTTAGGGGAAATAGCAAAGTACACCATATACCTTCTCTAACATTCCTAGGGTTTAGGGGAAAGAGCAAAGTACACAATATACCTTCTCTAACATTCCTAGGGTTTAGGTGAAAGAACAAAATACACCATATACCTTCTCTTACATTTCTAGGGTTTAGGGGAAAGAGCAAAGTACACCATGCACCTTCTCTAAGATTCCTAGGCAGGGCCGGCCTTAGGGGTGTGCGAGCAGTGCGGCCGCACAGGGCGCCATGGCAACAAGGGCGCCGTGCGGCTGACACAGCTCGTCCTGGGGGCGGCTTCTCTCCCCCTCACCGCTGGGCGCTGGCCATCCGATAAAGGCCTAAGGCCGGCCCTGTTCCTAGGGCTTAGGTGAAGGAACCGAGTACACCATATATCTATGCTGCAGCACTGATCTGCAGTTTCCCATGAAAGTCAACTGCATAGAGACATCTATTGCAAAAAAACTCACTTTAATAACATTATAATTATTACCATGTAACTGCATCGGTATTTTAATGACAGAATGCATACATTGTAATTCTAGAAGGGAATTTGCATATGAACAGTTACCTCAAAATGTTGGAACCCCACCTACAGGCGAACTTGCTGCCCCTGAGCCATGAATAAATTATTACAACCAATTACATGTACATTGCATACAGGGGCAACACTCAACAGACAAAAAAGTCATTCACACCCTGATTTTAGATGGTAGTATTATTTGTCCCAATACACAGCTCACCTCACTGATGTTTATAAGTGCGCGCCACATGCCCAGGTTTTCACACCACAGATCTGTCCGAGAAATGTGAAGGTCCAAGTCACTTTGCTCTTTCTCCATTTGAGCTATTTCATCCTTCAGCTTGGAAACAATCTAACATGAATAAACAAAGATTTGATAATATGCAAGCTTTGCAAAAGAACATACCAGTCACCAACAACCCTGGAAGCAGCTATTTTGTAGATTCACGAGTGTAATCAGAGAAGTCTGCTCAGTCACCCATTTATGGCCGCCTCACTATTAATGTGACACACTGGAGGACTCTATATTCAAATACTTTATTGCATCTTCATAAAAACAGAAACAAACAATCCAGCAGAAGCAAGTAAGCGCTCTACATATATCAGCAAGATATTACGGTCTCTTCCAACTCTTTTCAAGTCGTGAGCTGCTGCTGCTATATGTAAACAGTCATCTTACTTGCTTCTTCCAGACTGTAGTTGACACTTTTATGATGATGCAATAAAGGATTTCATTATACAGTATAGGCCATGGTGCCTGCCACATTTATTAAAGTGTACATATAGCCCACATTGTTGAGTTTTGGATACAGTAGGAAAGGGTTAAAAGCCCTGTCAGGTTATTGTTTTGCTGTTTGGGAGACATCCCTTCACTTCCTCTCCCAGAGACGCAACAGAAAGCAAGAAGAAATCCCCCAAAGAGGGGAAAGTTCCACCTTAGTTCTGTTTCAGTGACAGTGCTCACTGGTACAAATACAGGGCTTAATCCCCCCCTATAGGGACACAGCAATAAAAGCTTCATTAAAAAGGTCTAGCCCTTCCCCACTTTATCCAAAGAGTTTTGTCTAGAGCTGCACTTTAATAGCTAGATCTCTCTCTCTACATTTGGCACAGTAGCGGAAAAAGGAAGTGTGATTTGTTATGCTGTTAAAAAAAAGTCTTCATAAAAAGGTATGCAAGAGATATTTTCCACCCATTCCCTAATCCAGTTCATGATCAGTAAGCTTCTTAAATACTATGGTGTTATAACCAAGTTATATATAATGTATGATTTTTTATTATGCATGTCATCTGTGTATAAGGTAGAACTATACTGTTAAAGTGACACTACACTACACTCAGGAGTTAAACCTTAAAAATACATTCAAGTATCTTAACTATTAACAAAAATGTATCTTATTTGTGTATCACTCAGCTATAGATCCTCAAATCACCAGCTCACTCCCGTGATGGACTACAATCTCAACACAAATGAGTAAACTAATGTGAGATTGTAGTCCATAATGGGAGCAAGCTTGGAGCGGTGACTACTTTACAACACACACAGGGACCATGGGGAACAAAAGTAGCCACCCTCCAGAAGGAAGGACGGTGTCGCCACCAATTCAGAGATGATTTGAGGATCTACAGCCGAGTGATACACAAATAACATACATTTTTGTAATTAGTTAAGGTACTTGAATGCATTTTTAGGATTCAACTGCCGAGTATAATTTCACTTTAAACTCCAGAAATCTGGAACATGACTGGTTACTCAGAGTTGCAGAACCTTTATGTGCAGTCTACCCATATAACTCGTTTCTTGGTACAGATGAGAAATGATTTGGAAGAAGGCAGTAATAAAAAGGCATTAAAAAGCAACAAGTACATGTATATAATATGTCACTGGTTAACCCTTTTAGGTTCAGAAGGGTGGCCATTATGTGGCTGCCTTCATTTGAAAAGAGTACCCACTTAAAACCAAAACACAAGCCCACTTCAAACCATTCCATGCATTACACAGAAGAGTCCTCATCTGCAGCATCCTTTCATTAGCAACAGCATAATCCTTGATGCAGCTATGTACATTTCTATTTTATTCAGCCATTTAAGCTACTTTATTCTATATTTATCTCTCCTGCTTTTTTTTAGTACCAACACATTTCATTATGTTATCAAGAAATGTTTGTTGCTCCTAATAAATGTGAGACATTTAATGAAATGTTTTTGAAATAAATAGCACAATGCTGAACGTGCTAAAATGTGTTTCACCAGAGGTGCTTGGAGTACAGCAATTCTCATGGCACACAGAAATAGACTGCTAAGGCAGTCTTTGCAGAACGTTTTCATATCCGTGTTTTCACAGGTTTGCCTTCCTATTTTACAGACATAATACATTTATTGTTCACATTTACAGGTTGGATTGACCTGATACACAGGGTAATAACAATACAAAATGACATTTTTCTTTAGGGCTGTTCTGCTAGGTTTCATAACTCACTTCTAATAATCCAGAGTTGATAGGTAGCTATCAAAACCTAGGTTGATATGGATTGATCATATAGAAATAACTAAGCTGATATTATTATTATATAGGATTTATATAGCACCAACAGTTTGCGCAGCGCTTTACAATATAAGGAAGACATTACAATCACAATACAATTCAAGACAAGACAGTAAAGAGGGCCCTGCCCGTGAGGGCTTACAATCTAAAAGGGAGGGGCAAGTGATACATGAGGAGGTAGCTGTGTCGAGATGAATTGTTTGAGAAAGTGATAGTTCAGTGGTTAGTTTGAGGCAGGATAGGCTTCCCTGAAGAGATGAGTCTTAAGGGATCGCCTAAGGGCAGTCAGAGTGGGAGATAGTCAGACAGGTTGGGGTGAAGAGTTCCATAGGATGGAAGAGACTAGTAAAGTCCTGGAGGCGGGCATGGGAGGAGCTGATGAGGAAGCTGGAAAGCGGAAGGTCTTTTGATGAGTGGAGGGGACGGTTAGGGTGATAATTTGAGACCAGCTTTGAGATATAGCCAGGGGGCAGAGTTGTGGATGGCTTTGTAAGTGGTTGCTAATGTTTTGAATTTTATCCTTTGGGTGACTGGAAGCCAGTGGAGGGATTGACAGAGAGGGGTTGCAGACACTTAGCGGTTGGTCAGGTGGATGAGTCTAGCAGCTGCATTCATGATAGACTGAATGGGGGATAGCCTGTGTAGTGGAAGGCCAATGAGGAGGGAGTTGCAATAGTCAAGATGAGAGATAACAAGTGAGTGGATGAGTAATTTTGCGGTTTCATATACCATTACCTTGGCTGATATGGATTGATCATTTAGCAATAACTAGGTTGATATGGACTGATCATATAGCAATACCTAGGTTGATATGGACTGATCATATAGCAGAACATAGGCGGATATGGACTGATCATACAACATTACCTTGGCTTATATGAATAAATCATTAAACAATAAGTAGGCTGAAAAGCATTTTCTATTAATAAAGCCATGAATCACACTGCGCAGCTAACACAGCCAACAAATCTAGGCAGGAAATGGGGGTATAAATTTTGACCAGATAAACTCTAATAGGGTCGTCAATCTTCCAGCCACATTTTCCCTTTTATACTATGTGTGTATATTTTGTAATATAGTGCTTATTTTATTTTACTTTCTGGAACAGTATTCTTTTATTGTGTGCATTTTTTTTTATTTTCCATTTAAAAAAATTTATTTGTATTATATTATAATTTATTATACTTTTAACAGTACTGTTGAGGGGTTTAGGGAAATATCAGGGGTATAAACAGACCTCAATCTCCTCCCCCTCTGCGCTTTGGCACCTACCAACACTGAACAGGAAGTGGTCAGTACAGAGAGATTCCTGTTCCTTAATGAATAGAAGCGATATCTCTTCAATTACGTATGAACTCTTCCACTTGAGTTGTCAGTCAGATTTTTAAGGAATTTATTATTTATTGTATTTTTTAACAGTACTGTCAGGGGGCTTTGGGGAAATATCAGGGGTCTAAACGACCTTAATCTCCTTCTCCTCTGCAGGCCGGCACTTACTAACACTAAAGTGGAAGTGCTCAGTACAGAACGCCTCCTGTTCATTCACAAATGGAAGAGATAGTAAACAGGCCATTCATGCTTGCTATCTTCAATTAAAAGCAATCAACAGAGTGGTCAGTCAGATTTTTAATGAATGGCTGTGATCAGCAGCTTGTTCACAGTTATTCATGTAATCAGAAGAGTCTAGGGGACCATTCTGCTCATATCACAAGGGAATGCAGCTGACAAAAGGCATACCTGCCACGGTCCAAATGGAAGCAGTTTTGTTCAGCCTTATGCCTTAAAGGCAATGTAAACTCTTAACAATGAACTTGCCTTATTTGATCCCTTACGGTCTGTTAAACACACTATTAAAAGCGTTTTGTTATAGCTATTTTATACCTGTTGTTTTTACAAATTATCATGTAAGCTGTTGAATGCATGTGCTCACTGCTTGTGCTGAATCTTTTCAGTTACTTTGTTCTCCACTAGCTCGGAGAATTACAGAACCATGCCCCTCTGTTACGTACAACAGAAGAGTGGTGGAGTCATGTAGTCCTATCCTGTTTCTGTTGTCCTGATACAGTGTAGATGTAAGTGTTGGCATCATAGGACAGGAAATGTGTTACTGGCACAATCACCAGATGAAAACAAAAGAAAAAAGCTTGTAAAAAGAAAACAAATGCAGCCTCCACATCTAAGGACTGGTAAACTGCAATATGTTAAAAAAAATTGTTTCGGGGTTTAGATACACTTCAATGATTTATTGCAGCAAACTACAAAACCACCATTGTGCTGAGTACATTGTCAAACATAACAGAGTGCACCTTCTGGAGCCAAAGCATAGAATCTATAAAAAAATAAACCCTTGTTCCCACAAGGGTTCCCACATGATGGATAAAAGATTCCAGGAGGAAAGCAGTAGTGACGTGCTGCATTAAACTATCCTCCGGCACGACACATCATACATACAATATTCTAAGCCGTTATGAAATAGAGTTCATCAATAACTATGGAAACATGGTTACCAAAAATATGTCTAATTAGGCTTTCATTAGCAGGCCTCAAGCCTGCTGTTTCCATGACACTAAGTAGTATTAATTCACTTTGCATTTTCCCCACGTAATTACGGACATTTCTGTTCTGGCTGCAAAAACGATGAGATCTCGTTTTTGAACTGAATGTTCAAACAGGCTTAGTTTATATAGTCATTGATATTTACATTTCTTTACAGAAGGCAAAGGAAAGTCACTCTAATCAAATACAACATATTCTCTGAACAAAATTCTCCAGCCTTCATGGACATCTTTGCCTGGGAAAATATGAATGCTGCCATTGCAGACCTTTTTGTCTGAAAATGCCTGGCTGTCATGAGTCAGCAGGGCGGTATTCCCAGTATTTCTTTCAGTTCAGGTTTCCTTTAATATTGTTAGTAATTGATAAAAAGTCCATAGAGTGTTCACTGGGGAAAACAGTCTACTTGTCAATGGATTATAAATGAAAAAATAACAATTGGTTGGTTAGTGTTTTATAAAAAGGAAATAAAGAAACAATCGGGCAGGTTGGACATTTTCATATGATTTTCTATTTTTTTTTTCTAAATAGTGGAGAGAAAAGCGAGAGAGATCACCTATCACTGCCTTTCAGAAACTAGTGCGACTTGCATGGAACAGAACATGTGTATGTGCATTGCTTGGCTTAAAGCGATATTAAAGCTTTTGTTTTTGTTAACATTTTTATTACCGGGAGGCCTTCTTTATTGCAGATCTTTGTTGTTTTTTTTTATTTTTCAATTCCTCTTTTTCCAGTGTGTCCCCACATCCTCTCTCCCCCCAGCAGGGGTGACGCCAGCAACTAAGCGGCTGCTGTGGAGGCACCCGTGTGTGCTGGTTCCCGGCCGTACCCCTGTGGCAGGCCATGCCCCTCCTCTCCGCCCAACAGTTTGACTGATGGCAGACAGAGCCTATGGCTCCTCTGGCATCAGTGTCCCCCCCACAACCAGGAAGTTCGGGACAGTCGATTGTTTCGGGGACCGGCGGTGGTGACCAGCAGAGCTGACAGGTAAGTGTGTGGGGGGACAGGGGAGTCAAAAAGGTACTGGGCGTTTTTTACCTTAATGCAGAGAATGCATTAAGGTAAAAACCGCCCAGCATTTAAATTTACTTTAAGGTCTATAATTACAATTCCTGTGTTTTGGCTGTACCTTTTTGTCAGGCTTAGGTGCATTGATGATAGAGCTGAGGGCTTGTCTCTTGTACTCCAGTTTCTCTGTCAGTTGCTGCAGTTTGTTGACAGCATAGCTGGCCTGTTCAGTAATACCACTACTGCACTCATCGAGGATCTTTTCCCCACCTTCACACACCTGATTATGGATCAGAAAAGAGAGAGACAGGAAGACTTCAGTCTATCGCACAGATGGTGTCCTATGACAAAGACAGCTTTGACTATAACAAAGGCCTACGCCTATGACAAAGGCAGCTTTTCAACATGGGCATTACTAAATGAAACAATTGTATAAAGGTCCATTTGCCAACAGAAAAAAAATGTATGTTCTAAATGTTTTTTTGCTCCATCCCCTTTTTTAAAGCTTTGGATAAACCAAGGAACAGGAGAGAACCTCTGTCAGATATTTACTGTTTGTGTTCCTGATGGGAAGATTTCCTCTTCCTTCTAGTCTCAGTTATCACACACAGAATAAAGGTAATTTTACAAGTGGGAGGAATCAATACAAGTCTGAAAGAGGTTCACATCCTTCCACACTCTACCAAAAGAGTACATTTGGTTGGTGTTTATGCTATCTGTTGGAGCGTTTTCCCCTCATTCCCTGTGTAAGTGATCAAAAAAGTAGTAAAGGGACAATTCCCCAGTGGGGACAAGACTGCAATTAACATACACCGGATGTTTCAAATTAGTCCCCAATATTGGAAAATAAAAAAGGGCTTTGGCTGGCGTTCCACTTGGGGAATAGACTTATATACTCAATCAATATTCATTATATTATAGCACTAGTATTGACGTTCAGGGGCTGGAGAAATTGGACTAGGTCAAACTATTTCTAGTAGTCATAACCACTGATCAGATGAAACAAAAGGTTTCTGATAAATAAAAAAGATCCAATAAAAATGTAAAACAGCATATGGCATTTAAAACAGGAGCTGTTAAAAATGTGAGCACAATAAACACTTTCAGTGCTCAGAAGCACTCCTCACTGCTCCATATATTAGTTATCATTATGTCATTACAATGGGGGAATAATTGAGCTGTTTATGGCTGATTAATGTTCTAAAGTGAATTAGTGGTTTAGCTCTGCCTAAAAAGAGTTTACATATATTGTACAACCAAAGGCAATATATACAGCTGTGTGCATAGTACTCACGATTTCATCCTTGTCATCGGTAACACACAAGCAGGAGCATGTGTCTTCTTGGCGAATCAGCTGGTCATACAGATCACTGACCATAAATGAGGGGTAGAACCTGTCCTTCAGTGTCTCATAGACATCAGCTTGGACTTTGCTGAACACCTCTATTCCTTTGTTGCCCACAAGACTCTGCTGGATTTCTTTATAAAGCGGTTTTTCTATTTGTATTTCCTTGTTTTCAACAAAGAAATTCTGGTAGATTTCACCAACTAATTGAGGTATTTCAGACTGCGGATAAAAGAAATGTGTTATTTGGTGCTTATAAAACAAAGTATCCAACAATATGACGTGAATGCACTTGAAGGGTTCCGATAAAATTTCTTCTATTGGTGTACATGCAGGTAAGCAAAATAGGGTTAGGGGTTAAATTTGTGTGCAGAGTTGTCTTGGTATTGCAGATGGCAAACATATTTTTAAAGCCATTATCCACAGGACACTTGAAATTAGAATGTAACAAATGGCTACTCTAGTAACCATAATAAAAGACGACCCATCATGACATACTGTATATTTAACAAGAGAATTGTTCTCCAAGTATAAGCATGTTGAGATAAATTGTGTACAACAAATTTCTCTCTCTGTATACAAAAATAAATACACAGGTAACTAAAGTAAAATGCTTATTTTACCTTATTTGCATTTTTCAAGTACTCTACAGACTCCCAAAAACTGATAAGCGCTCTTTTATCAATCTTTTCCATGTATGTTCTAAAATGTTCTCGGAATGATGAGTTTGCCATGATTTCATCAAACTGAATAATCTGAAATTAAAAAAATATATGTTATTAAAGTTAATTGGGCAACACAATACCCTAGATGAAATATTTAGCATGATCATTCAATGTACAAGAACAACCAAGTTCTGAGTTAAATCACCAATCTGTACATTTTCTTGTTGCTTATAAATTACTACTTTATACATGGATTGGGTCACGAAAGTAAAACGGTCTATTATTAATAGTACACAAAGGACTTCAAATTCCATTTAAAAGCAAACCTAAAGCAGGGAAAAATATGCATAGGCCCATTTTCCATTTGAGCACCTTTGGTGTCCAGAATCCCATTGTGCTCTGGTATACAAACATTAATTGAGCTTCCTGAGGTGAGAACCTGGCAGCGTGGCCCAGCACTCTCCTGGCTTCTAGGACTACTTGTTTGTGATGCTGTCCGTTAAAGTGGACTAATGAAAAGATGTGGGTGGAGATCAGGCTAGGTGAATATTGTTTCCAAAGCATAATAAGAGTCTGGCCAGCAGTGCAGTTCGTGTAGTTGTAAAATTCAACCAATCTTCAGACCCCTGGGGGTGCCCACCAGTGACGTGCCATGCCTTCTATACTGAGTGAGGCATTCCCCAGCCTGGCGAAGCTCCACCCCCGTCCCGCCAAAGCCCCAACCCCAGCTTGGTAACAAAGCTGTGTGGGAAGGAGGAAGGGAGGAGACAGGGAAGAGCCTCCCTGGCACTCACTTGCTTGTCACTGGTGAGGCATCGAGATCGATGTCCTCACTGTTTTTTTCTTCTTTTTTTTGAGTGGACAGCTTGGACCAATGGTGCTTTGCCATTGGTCCAAACCATCCACAAAGCTCACGCCTCTAACACAGAGTAGAGGCTGTGACAGCTCTTGCCTCACTATGTTAGGATACAGAAGCAGTGGGGAAGCCCGCTGCTGTGTAACCTACCTAATTACGTAATTAACATGCAGCGCTCCGTCCATGACAGGTACTGTGTAACCTGTAACAAGCCGATCTGAATGGAGAAAAAGCTGTCAGCTTTAGACTTGAAGCTGGCACCTTTTTTCTTCATAATACTAGGTGAGGCTCTGCCTCCCCTGACCGCACGTCCCTGGTGCCCACTATATCTTGCTATTTCCACAGTATTTTTAATGCTTCATGCTTGCGTTAAATGTTTTTTAATTGGGAAATTCTGTCCTCTTTCTTTGCTCCATTATTTTTATTATAAGCCTTTTGGAACTAGAACCGAACCTGCTGTTACCACAAATAACTGGTAAAATAAGAGTTAAAAGGCAAATTAGGGATTACAAAATGTCAGTTGATATGACATGCAAATTGTTTCTGCAGGATGCATGCAGAAGGCAAACTTTGACTTAATGAAGGTTCTGAGAAACACCCCCAAATCATTCCACAATGTTATGTACTATGTTAAAAGCGTGTTGAGGGGTGTTTCACCCTGTCTGATGCTTGGTGCTGTTTCTTAGCACTACCATCACTGAAACCCAGGGGTTGCATACAGTAAGTGACCCAAGATTTCAGGGGATCCTACGTGCCTGGCAGCAACTCATTTTTAAACATGCCAAACCAATTAGCAGCTTTCGGTTCTTAATTTCAGGATCATGAATCAAAGGGTACACAGCGTGCTCAAGTCAAATTTGAACGAAAGAACTAATAAAAAAATTGCATTTAAGGAGACCCTGCAACCTCGCCAACTTAGGGCAAAGTGACAGGGTATCATTAAAGACCACATTTGAATGCAATTATAAACCACCATAAAATACATAGAGGGGAATTTATGAAAACTGGGGCAGACAAAATCTGGAGCAGCAGTGCAGGGCAACCAATCAGCTTCTCTCTTTCACTGTCAAATCTTAACGAACTGAAGAGAGAAGCCGATTGCTTGTCCTGGGCAACTGCTCCAGATTTTGTCTGCTCCAGTTTTGATAAATTCCCCTCATAGTGCTTAGGGTATGGAGGAGCATGTGACATCCTCTATGAGGCTAGCTGTCAAACACTAGGCCTAAACACTGTCAAATAATGGAGGGTATAATGCCATGACTATCTATGAGCTTCAACACCAGCCAACACTGGGTATTTTGCAGTGGCTATGACGGAGAAAGGTGCAGTGGAAGAGTACTGTGAAGGTGAACATAACTAGGTCAAAAGTTAGGCTTTAAAGAGAGCCTGTCACTTAGCACTGAATGAGCACAGATACAAGGGGAGGGGATTTATCAAACTTGAAGCAGATTAAATCTGGAGCACTTGCCCATAGTAACCAATCAGCTTCGCTCTTTAGTTCGTTTAGTTAAGATTTAAAATAAAAAAGAGAAGCCGATTGGTTGCCATGCACATCTGCTCCAGATTTTGTCTGCTCCAGTTTTGATAAATTCCCCCAAGGTCTCTATAATTGCTGACTGAGGGCACCATTCTACTTAATGCTAATGTTGATTCATGGTAGATGAAGTTATTTTTAGCTGCCCATCTTCATCCTTTAGGGAATTAAGGAGTGAGATTTCCTCTCCTGAGTTTCATACCTACAGCTGCTTTAATGATAGGGTCCTACACTTCTATGTGCTTTAAACATATTTCACATTATAGAGAATACAACCGGTAGAAATAACAGATCCACTGGAATCCCACAGGAATATACCAAGTTAGCGTGTGATTCAGTCAGCCACTGAACTAACATAATAGAAATATCATTTTTGGTGGATAAACCTTCAAAGCTAATGTACACAATAACAGATAAGAAGTTTAGAGGTTATTAGAAATTGTATTTGCTTTGCCAGCACATGTGTGTACACCTCTGCATGGTTAAGCTTAATTTCCCTGTCTGTATTCATAGCAATAAATATGCATAAGATGAGCCTTTACCTATAATCACAATAAGACACAAGAGCCCAGAAAGGCAGCTTGGAATCACAAAGCAGCATTGTTAAAAGCTATGCCATCAGTTCTAGCTGTTGGACTTTCCTCCCTCTCATAGGCTGCAATGGTTTAGACTGGGTACGCAATTTGTGAGATCACATTTATAGTTTACTGTAGAATTTCACAATTCTCCTTTTCCTAAAATAAATCTCTTCTGTAACTTCACAATGTGCCCTTTTGTACTAGACAAAATGAATGTGGCATCTGGTACAGTCTATTCTCTAGGGTGAACTGTGCACAGGCTTCATAGCATCTTAACAACCACTTCTAGAACGGAACATCTTTCTACTAAAATGACATGCAGATTAATAAAATCATTTTACTTCATTTCTTTAATTTATGCTCCAAGGAATAATACACTAAAATGCTTTGATAATCACAAGCCACGTACATCTAAATTTCTGAAGGTGTCCATACCATTAAAGCTGGTCTCCAGGCAAATTGGTAAATCTGTATCTGCAATAGCCATTCCATGGCTTACCTTTAGCAAGGTCTGTTTGAATCAACACTGACAGTGAAGTCATTGCACCAGACCACTTGCTTCCATTACATACAGCCCCTGCTGCTGTCTACCTTATGTAAGGCAACTGGTCATAAAACAAGCCCTCTGTAGTCTTCACTGGGTGGAGCCTGCTTCATATATCTAGGTCTTTCCCCTCTCCTGCCTGTGACAAAAGCTTGTGACCAGAGGGCGGTGACGGAGAGAACAGAACTTCCCCTCTTACAACCCAAAAGGATCACTACAATCCCAAAGGTGCATGGGGTATGCAGTATTGTATGGCACACAGGAATCCATCACAAGTGATGTGGGGGCTCCACACAGTCCTCACTGCACCTAGCCATAGCAAGTATTTTGGCTACGACTATTGATTTCACTGATAATTAAAAATCTTGCTTTTACATCCATTTAGCCATTTAATAACAAAAAAGATTAAGGATATGGTTACATATACTATTGCAATAAATCTGTTAACAAAAAAAAAAATTGTTATTGCCAGAAATTCGGTGAGCTAACTTCCTATGCACTCTACTGAACTGCAACCTCAAAAGGCAGTAAACCGCCCCCTTTCTTATGGGGCCAAGGAGATGTGTTCTTCAATACTAACACACTTCCTATCCTAGGGTGACAATGAGGCTCAACCATAAATACAGCACAGTGATAAGCGTTTTCACTAGGGTTGCACAGATACCAAGTACAGTACTCGGTACAAGTACGAGTACATGTACCGATACTTTTGAGCTCCAAGACTACACTAGAGACAAATTCAAAAATGAGGAGGCAGCTGTCATTTGTAAGGAGCACACGGAGCTCCTGGGATTTGTACATCTCTGTTTTAATGTACGATTTTGTTTTTATAAATATAAATAAAGGGATGCACAGATACCAGTTTTGCATGTACGAGTACTGATACTTGCCCAAGTACTTACAAGTACGAGTACTGATACATTTTTGTTTATTGTCATGTGACAGTTTTTCTAAAACAATACAGGCTAATGATTTCAGGACAGTGGTGGAGTGCCAGAGCCTGGTCCCAGCTGCAACCTCTGCAACCCTTGTAGTTCTCATGAAAATGCCAAGTATCTGCACTGGTACTCGAAAAGTATCTGTGCAACCCTAGTTTTCACCCTAGGACAGGAAGTGTGTTACTGGCAGGATCACAGGTAAATAAAAAAAAACCTAAAAGCAGCCGCCACATCTAAGCACTTGTAGACAGAAATATATAACATTTTTGTTTTTGGGTTTAGATTGTGTTATTATGGCAGTACCTTCTGGCTCTGGGGACAATCTGAATCATCTGAGGTCCCATCATCCTGCTGGTCATATGCTGGCCCCCCAAGAAGCTTGATTCTCTTCTCACATTGCTTCTTGGCAACAGTCAGCTGATTGATGTACCTTTTCATATTACGAGCCCTCAGGAGGTCAGCTTTCATTGCTGCAGTCTCTTTTCCTTTAGAATCTGAAGAAGACATAACAAATAAAATAATGCATACTGTTTAGGCATAAAGTGAGAGCCTTTTACTTTTGTAAGTCAGATTCAGTGCACTTTTAACACAAAACTAGCAATTTAAATTATACTCGTACGCATTAAGATGGTGGATGCCCAAGAACACCCAGCTCCTGTATCATTTTAGCATATCAGCAATGCAGGTTAATTACCTGTGTGGATACCCAAACACATGAACAGCATTATGGCCACTAGATGGAGCTAAGGAGCTTGGGAAGTATTTATTTCCTATGCTCCCCAGTTTCATCTAGGCGCCAAAATGCAGTATTTTCCTAATATTACATTTGAAAAGAAAATATACTACTAACGTTCATTCCTCCCTCTATTCGCACAGAACGAATAGCTCTGTGTATTGTTTATGTATACATACCCAAAGATCTGATGCTAAAAGATTTTTTTTTTTTTTGCTTGCACACAAGCAAAGGTCATCTTGACCTTCCAATGACTTTCACCGCGCAGCAGCATCGACTAACATTTCTCAGGAAATAAAGATTAAAACACACATTAAATAGTATTCCTATCATAAGCAAGCATGTATTTATTAGAAGTTTACCCTCCCCAGGTATACAATAACCCAAAGGAAGACTAACAAGCAAACATTAATAAAGCTCTCTAGCATTTTTGAAGTAATCAGCTTTCGGTTTAAGAACAAAATGTATCATATAAAAAAGTGCATTTCAAGTCATCTAGTTTTCTTTTTAGGCAAAGTGTGTCATGACACCTCTGTTCAAAGAGATAATAATGTTTTATGTGTTGACCTGGACATCATTCATTACAGCAACTACTGCAGTTAACCGCCTCCACCATGAAAATCTGATGTTTTTGAACAGCCTCAGTACTAGCTTGTATCTCTCTTCAGCTATAAGGGTTGAGAAGCTGAAGATGTACACTTTGGCTCTGAAGGAAGCCTCTATCTACTCCTGTCAAACTGTCACACATATCAGCTCAGGGAAACCTTACTTTTCATCCTTTCAAACATCCAAGTTTCCTTTCATGTTCATAATGAAGCAGGGATCAAACATTTTGTTTTTCTGAAAGTAATCTTTAGATGTTTCGTTAACAAATTAACAAAAAGCGAAAACAGACAGGGGACTGTTGTAATAAAGACAGTGGAATGCTGTAACATAGAAAAAAAGACAGACAGCACAGGGGCGTGGAAATAAAAACAAAAAACGACTTGTCCAAGGACTAAAGCAATAAATCTACGTGTCCCTTATGACAATCTACTTGTCCTGATACAAAAAATAATTTTAACCGAAACTGTATTAAGGAGTGCTAAGAAGCACTTCTCATTGATCAGTGCTGTCAGGTGACCGTGCTGACCAATGAGTGCTCGCAATTTGTGAGCGAAATTCAATGAGCGGGTAATTTCATTTTCCCAAATTACTTGGGAAAGTGAATTTACCCTTTAATGTGCATTGTGCGTGATAGAGTGCGCTGCTGCCCAGCTAACACAATAGGTCACACAGTGGAATGGGGGCAGCACAAAGCGCACACACACACAATGCCCTATGCATGTATTTATTCGCATGCGGTGTTCGGGAAGGGACGGACCATGGAGGGGGGAGCAGGGGAGTGACAATAGCGCGGCTTACAAGTGATCTTGGGTGGATGTACAGCCGCTCAAGATCATCTGTACAAAACGGGACCCCCCTCTACATTTAGCCCTGGTTGCCTGAAGCAGGGCTAAATGGAGAGAAAAACTACCCGCCCGCCACTGCATGTCTCGGGCGTCGGGGCATAGGAATTCCACACCCCTGCAGTAGAATGATGTAACAGGTTTTTATTTGTGCTATAATTAGTGTGAGGCCAAGGCAGATACCAGACTGTTATGGGTTACAGTGTTTCTTAGTATCTGTACTATACACAACAACAAAACAATACTACATGTCCTGTAACAAAAATTAAAATGTTAAATATCTTATTACTCGCATTAGTATACCTTTTCATCTTACTACCCAATCCAGTAAAATACCTTTAAGGTGGTAACCCCATCTTTTAAACCCCACCCCTCCGAATGCTTCCAATTTTTGGCTCATGTGTGACAGCTCGGCAAAAGCATGGGTTTCAGGTTATTCTACTAGTGAACCAAAAAATTCTTAAATGGTTATTTGAGGCCTATATAACTGTCTAAAGTCACAGACACTAGAGGGGAGTCAGTTTGTACAGGCACTAACAGCCCTCATGCACCCATGTTGGCTAACACATTCTTAAATGGCAATGCTAATAAGAGCAGGAGCTACTGGTAGAGCTTGTAGAATGTACCCTAGCTATACCATGCAGGGCTTGGCAGACTCGTGAAACATCTTTCTCATGTAAGATCCTTCCATAAATAATGGAAAATATGGCAACCTAGGATAATATATACATCATACCTATATTGTATACAGGGATCTGGTCTATTTATGCCTACCTGATGTTTATATGAGCTCAATTCAAGTGTTGTTTTAGTTATCTGCCCTTGAATTGAACCAAATAGTTCCTGGTCAAAGTACTAGCAAAAAATGGCTGCTGCCAGTCTGGATTCTTGTCTGTATGGAGAGACAGTGCCATGGCACAACCAAGTTATAAGTACATGCTCGAAAGTGTGCATTGACCTTTAAGTAATACGGATTACCATTACTATGCCAGAAATAAACAATGGTGCATAAATTAATCACATCTACACAGCAAGATTTATCTTCACATATAATCAGCTCCGGCAACATCCTGGTTACATGTGCCTTATTAATTTGTTTCATTATTTAAAAAGGTATCCTTATACTTAAGCAAAACATTTAAAACACCATTATTAATAATTGGAAAATGCATGATGAACCTCAATATTATTAAAAACAATAAACATCTACTGTACATTGACAGCAAAATAGTTGAATTCTGCTTAATTTTTAAAGCATAATAAAGAGAGACCAGCCTGGTATAACACCTCCCACTCCCAGCATGCCCCAGTTTTGCAAGACCTTAAAAACAAAGCAAATCCCGTTTTCTTTCTTGTCCACTGAGGGACACACGATCTATAGAAAGTTGAGACATCAAAAAGCAGTCCAATTGAAGGTTAGACAACACACACAAAAACGAAAAGGCGCACTAACAACAACAGAGAAAGACTGTGGACTGCCTGCAGCTCAAAGTGCTGCCTGGAGGACCTTACACCTAAATGTGGCATCAGATGAGGCCTGAACATTCACGTACTAAAATTTAGTAAACAAATGAACAGAAGACCAGCCATGCAAATCTGGAAAAACAGTTGTCTGATGCCAAAAAGATAAAGAAGCTCTCGCTAATCTAGTAGAGTGTGCTTTGACAGGGGTGGAACCTGATCCTTAATACCAAAGGCTTAAACAATCTGTCTGAGCCAATCAGAAATGGGGGAGCCAGAATAAGGGTTCCCCTTTGCGGGGACCATCTGGGATAACAAAGAATCCTTCCTAATGGAAGCAGTGGCTATGAAGTAGACTCTTATAATATGAACTACATTAAGACAATGAAGGTAAATCTCCTGCTGATGTACTGAAGCCAGACAGAGGGATGCAAATACATTGTCCTTGTTGAGGCGAAACGCTTAATCCACCTTAGAAAGGAAAGAGGCTGTAGGCCTCACCACCAGAAAGGTTTTTTTCCGAGACAAGGGCAAAGTTCAGGCACTTGCTTCACAGAGGTGGGAGTGACAAGGAAAGCAACTTGTAGAAAGGGTAATACACCCAAGAGGTTCAAAGGGCATTTTCTGAAGTCAAAACAACCAAATTTGGATCCCTTGGAAAGGCAAGTAATGGTACAGGGGAAAGACACATGAGAGACAAACTTTACAAGAGTTTTAAAGAATGGGAGGTGGTCTCTGAATCAAGATTGCCTGCACTGCACTTGAGATCTGCCCCTTGATGGTCCAGACCCAATTGTAAAAAGATCAGCATATGCCCTACAGAATATTTTCTGGAATTAAAGTTTTTTTTTCCTGCACCAAACGCAGTATGTCTTTCATGTGTGGTGGCAGACCTTTTGGGTTGTGGACTTCCTAGCTTTTAGGATCATGGGACTCACCAATTCAGAGAGGCATCTATCGCAAAACCTGGGCTTGACTGCCCCCCTCGGGACATGCGTCTCAGACTGTGTAACACTATAATGTTGGTTTTCATGGTTGTGCACCTTGTTTGTTGTGACTTTGTACTTAGTCAATAAAGAATTAAAAAAGACCTGGGCTTCAACAGCCATGCCCTTTAAGCCAATGATAGTGAAGTGGCATTGTAAACCAGTCCTTGGGATAGAAGATCAGGTCAGAGTACCACATGTGCCTGGGCCAGCCTGGAGCTGAGGACTACCAGAGTGCTCTCCATCTCCACAGCCCAGAGGAAGGAGGCATTTCAGGGATTGTAGTGTAGTGCTGCCTGCACTTGGAGCCAAACCTGTCCATGAATTTGGGGGCCAGGAGGTCCACACTGAACATTCCCCATTTGTGATACAGGTCTGGGAACATCTGGATCCAGCCTCTGTCAGATAAAGTAGTCAGTCTGTCAATTGTCCATGCCTGGAATGTAAATTGCGGACAAGGCTGGAATGTGAACTTCCACAAAATACTTAACTCTTTCTACCTCTCTTGCTGCAATAAGACTTCTGGTTCCTCCCCGATGATAAATGCACATCACTGCTGTGGCGTTGTCCAACTGGATCCTCGTCAAATTACCCATTGGTCAGGATCCAGGGGCAACAGATCACCCGGAACTACAGAATGTTAGGTGTAAGACGCGACCCATCCAGTGTCCAAGTCCCCAGCACCAACAAGGTGTCTAGGACTCCTCCCCAGCCTAACACACTGGCATCAATTTGAGGATCCTCTAAGAGAACAGAATGAAGGATTTCCCACGAGGAAGTCATCCAGATATCCCACAATGGGAATGCCCTGGAAATGCAGCAAGGCAATCACAGGGGCTAGAACTTTAGTAAACACA